ATAATCAGGTGTATGGGCAGCTTAAACGTCCTTTTAGAAGCAATTGAACCTTTTGGCTGGGTTCACACCATTTTCCGGACCAGATCTGGAACATAGTGCATTGCATTTTTGCTGCGATTGGATTTTTTTTTTAGCTTAAAATGGTCTTACAGATGCGTTCCAGTGCGTTTTTGATGTGTTCCAGTGCATTCCAGACCAGACAAAATAGGACGAGCAGTATACTTCTGGTTTGGTCTGGAACGTACTGCGCTGGTGGGAACAGAGGCCAGAAATAGCATAGGGATACATTGGGATGCATTTTGGGTCCGGAAACAGTCTGGTCTGGAGGTAATCTGGATGTGGTCTGAATGGGTCATTAGGGAGTATTTCACCAAACATTAAATTCCTATTGCAAGGGATGAAGGCGTTCTGAACAGCAATTCTATAAAACGCCTCCAGGTCACCATATTGCATTGATTTTTTTTTACAGTTTTAGAAAATGACAGCTGCAGCTTTTAATATTATAAATCCACTACGTATGCACCAAATGTCTTTCCAAACCCAGATATTACCTTGTAAATGTAGCAGTGACATTATTACTTTGCTGAACATAGCCTGTGCAGAGAGCAGAGCTATGGGGGCCCCTGCAGGCCCACGCATTCCAAGCTGACTGCAGAAAACTTCAGGAGGGGAGAGCAACAGTGCCTGGTCTTTATTACAGAAAACTCCTACACAGAGGCAAAGTTTGACACTACAATAATGCACAGATCTGGAAGAAATAAACAATGCACACCAACATACAAGTAAGAATACATATGCATATTGTATTTAAACAATATTTGCCTATTCGGGATTTTAGCTTTAAACAATTTCTAGATAGCATTGAAACTCCTAGGAGATGAGAGACTTTTGACATTGACCCTAAAACCACATATGGCTGTATGCACAAATAAATGAATTAAAAAAATTAAATGGTCTTTACTGGGCTACCTTAAATGGAACAGACAGCAACAGCAATACCCTAGACCAGCCATACCCTACACCAGCCTTTCTCAACCTTTTAACACAGAGGAACCCTTGGACTAATTTTCAGGGGTCAAAGAACCCCTGCTAATTATGTATTATGTATACGGCTCACGGGAAATTAGCATTAAGGGCCGCTTCATACCACAAAGTCTGCGCTCCAGAGCCTCTGGAACACACTGGAACGCAAACCAGCTGACTCCCTGCATTCAGGGCGGTGCATTGAAGTCAATAGCACCGCAGCCCCACCGCCTCCCCCCCTGGGTGATCGCCCACACCAGAACGCGTGGCACATTAGCGATCTGCAAAAATGCTACAAGCACTATTTTTGCAGATCGCACTGGACCGGGACAAAGGCACTAATTGTGTCACGCGTTCAGGTGCAGGCAGGGGTGTGTGACTGCGGTGCCATTGATTTCAATGCACCGTCACGCCCCCTCCCGCCCATGAACACAGGGAGCCAGTCGGCTTGCGTTCTAGAGGCAGAATGCTCCGGAACGCAGACTTTGTGGTGTGAACCAGCCCTAACAGTATTGGTATAAGAATACCTCCTTATTGTATTTGACACGCAGGGCTGCTTCATATGGCAAAGTATTTTCAGTAATATGGAGGGGGAAAAAAAGACCGAAATAAGGAGATTGTAGTGTCCTCTTTTCACATTGATAGTCAGTGAGAAAAGGCCCCCATAGGTGGTCAGGGTAGTGCCACCCTCAGGCATCATTCACACTGGCATTCCTGGATTCTGTTTTTCTAAATGCAGGACAAGTCATCTGAGAGGCATCAACAACTTTTATGCTTCCCAGATCACTTTTTTCGTGGTGTACCTGCCTAAAGCCACATTTACATGTGTTTACATGCATTTGGCTGCTGTTAAAAGTTTCTAATCAGATCCTGCACACAGAATGGAGAATTGGAGAATGCGTTCCTTACAAATAGCTGAGATTAAAGGTGTCAGTGGTAACTTGTCTGAGAGGTAGAAATTGCTCTATGGTGGAACACTGGGGTTCCAAGGAACCTGGTTGAGAAAGGCTGCCCTATACTATCTACTTGATGATTTTATCAGTATGTTAAATTCAGATATGCAGCTATGGCTCAGCATGGGTTAAAAGGAGTATAACTGAATACTACTATAGAGTGTTTATTGTTGTCAACAGAACACAATAAATTAGTAAAGTCTACTCTACACTATTATAGGCCAACAAACTAACATTGATAAAGTATGAAATAAATGGCAGCAGGATATTCCCTGTCTTAGGGCTTGTTCACACAATGTCCGGATCATGTCCAGACCAGAACAGTTTTTTCCTGGACCAAAAAACCATCCCAATAAATTCCTATGGTATTTCTGGGCTCTGTTCACACCAGTGCAGTCCGTTCCAGTCCAGACAAAAAAAATACTGCTCGTCTAATTTTCTCTGGTCTGGAATGCACTCTCAGAAATGCATGCAAATGCACTGGAACGCACTGGACTGCACCCGAAAGCCCATTTGAAGCTATAAAAAAAACCCTGCGCTGGAACGTGGTAAAATCGCTGCAAAAATGCACTGCACTGCGTTTGCAGATTTGGTCCAGACATGCTGTGAACATAGCCTAAAGGAGAAATAATGGAAGGAAGTTCTCAAGTACTACCTGTCTACAATAGTGTCATTCAGATATGAATTAATACAAGTTAGATACTTTCACCATACATATTATACGGTTACTATACTACAAAAAGCGCAAAGTATACTCAGTGATTTATGCTTCAAGTGCAGACTGGAGGTAGGAAATTTCCAGCACATGACATAGGGAAGCCCTAAAATTAGGCTCTTGGTTACAGATTTCAAAATGTATCTCTACCCTGTTTGATATACTTTATATGTGTAATAGCACAATTTACCCTCAAGGTGTGTTCTCACATTATCCAGTAGCAATGTACTTAAAGGAGAACTATGAGGCAAGTGATTTCCACTCATTCTCATAGTTAGAGCCGACCTGTGACCCATACCAGTGCTCGCTCACTTCCCAGTCATCTCCCTGCAGTGATCAGTGACTGTCAGTCACCGCTCCCCGCAGGGATTCCCCCCTACCCTCTCCGATCCTCCAGCGCTGACTGGAGGAACGAATGGGGGAGGGGCTGGCACAGCGGGCTCTGCCTCTCAGAGCCAGCTGTCACTTACGCAGCTGGGTGGATCTCTACAGTATTGTCGGGATCCGTCCCAGGTGTGGCAGTCTCAGTATATCGCGGGCAATAGCTTGCTATATACTGAGCTTTGGGTCATGGGAGGAGGTTAGTATATGTCCTCCCGTGACCCTAAGGAGAACTATGAGGAAAAACACTTACCCCATAGTTCTCTTTTAAGACAACAGCACATTGTCACCTCTATTACCCACAAATTAATAGCTATGCATTGTAAATGCTCAAATTTCATGACTGGATTGAACTGGTAAGAAAGAAAAAAAATCTTCAACATATGGTGACACTGGGTAGACCAAAAAGACCACTGTATATAAAAGGACCGGCCCACCTCACAGAACTCAAATGTTAATAGTAAAATAGATAGGGTGGAGCCATTTGAATATTGAACTCCCATGAGAAATGTATACATTGGGGTTATACCTCTGATGAAAAAATAAACAGCAACCTAAAAAAGAACAGTAGGGTCTATGTTTAATGTTTACCATAAAAATATATGGTGTTCTGGTGGACATGTCCCCAGGTGTCCCGCCTTTGGAATAGTGTATATGGCCTAATTTGTTCTCTTTTCCAAGTTTCCTTGCGAAGGGAACCGTGTGAGACATTGTTGCTGCAGCCAATTCCACAATCGACACGTTTTCAAAGACTCCTAGTATCCCACATCTTTGTCGCCACCAAAATGACTATCGCCAGAGCGTGGAAAACTCCGTCCCTGAGTTTCGGGGAGGTCAAAAATTGCCTTGACGATATTTTGGTGAATGAAAAACAGACGGCGATACTGTCTGACACACATGATCGCTTCCTACCGATTTGGCAGCCCTGGATCTATTATTCCAGACCACCATCTTTCAACTCACAGCTGCTATCCATCTAGAACCCTTGTATTTCCCCCCGTCCCTCTTCATGCCCGTCTCCTCCTATATTGCGCTTTCTCCTACCCGACCTTCCTCTTGTTCCTTCCCACCCCCTCCCTTCTCCCTCTCTGTACCTTCTGTTGCACTCATTGTCCCTCCTCTTTCCCTTTTCCCCCAAACGTCCCTGCCGATTGACATGCTCCTTCCCCTCTGGACCCCATGCCATGTTGCACGATGTTGATAGATCTATGGGCCTCCCTTTCTAGAGGATCAGAATGCTGAATTGAAATGTTTCTTCTATTGTGATCCTTTCTCCTCGTCTACTTATGTTTGCCCATTAGGTCTATACAGTACTGTTCTTATTATGACATTTTTCAGGATCCTTCATACCATATTTGTTGGTTACCCACAGTACTTTGTTGTGCTCTGCACAGCACTAAGAATGTGTGCTTTCTGTATTATTACTCGCCACATGGCATGCAAGCAATTAATTTTGTTATCTTTGTATTTTGCATACAAAAAAAAAAACAAAAAACAATAAAATCTTTGTGAAAGAAAAATATATGGTGTAAATACATGAGTTGATGCAAAAATAAAAGCAGTTTTGTACAGACATGTTCAATAAACTTACATGCAGTTTGCAGTGTGGCTATTTCTGTTTCTTTCCAATTATGCAGTTTTTATAATATGTTAGAAATACTGAGTGAGCCCGCCGCATATAATTACTGTATAGAGGTTAGGTTGTTAAAGAGGGCGGCGGCATTTCAAGATGCTAATGGACTACTGAGATTGTTATACCTAATGATCTTACAACCTAACCTTGATATGTTGCCTTAATAATACACTGCCAGAATGAAAGCACACACAACTACATTTTAACTTTACATATGCTTTTACAATGCACCAACAAAATTAATAGTTGGAAGAACAAAGTATATATCTACCTCTCCCCCCCTTCCCCACCCCACCACAATTCTCTACTACTTTAGTACAGGAGTATGTCGAAAAGACTTAAAAGTATTTCCTAAGCGATGCAGCTTCTCTTTCCATGTCGTCTTCTGTTCTCCATTTGTCTGGAGAGTCCTGTCCTTCCTTGTCATGTTCTTGCAAAATTTCATATACTTTATCATTTCTTTCAAAGTCTCCAGGTCTCCTGGGTAGAATGTGCACATGAACATGACTGACAGTCTGTCCAGCATCTGGGCCATCCTGGATTGAAATGGTTAAAGAAGTGCCACCAAAGTGGGTCTCCACGACATTCGAAACTCTTTGTACAGTGGTAAAAAGGTCACTAACTTCTTCAGGCCACAGATCCCTAAAACGTTTTGCAGGTCGCAGTGGACAAACCAACACATGTCCAGGTACCACTGGTTTTCTATTCACAAAGGCAAAGGATAATTCGGTCTTCAAGAAGGTAACTGATGGCTTAATGAGATGTTTACCAAACCCGAAGGACATGGCGGATAATTGTCTTTCTACGTTTCAAACGTATCCACTTGATGACGAAGACGTGATGCAGAAGTCCAGCTGATGTTTCCAGATAGAAAATTAAATTATAGTAATTTAAAATCTGCAAAGCAAACAGTTATTCATAGATATCTTTGAATCTCAAAAACACAGTACTTTTGGATTAATAACTCACTGATTGGTGCACTTTTTTGATTAAAAGTGCACCAATCAGTGAGTTATTAATCCTACACATTGTACTGCATGGTTTCTTAAGTCAGGAATTCGACTATGGAAAACCTCATCTGACATTTTCCATACTTATCACAGCCATAATTTCTGAAACATTCTTTTTGTCTCTGTATCCTTGATCAACAATTACATTCACATTACCAAGGCAGGTATGACTCTGATTGCTGAAGATGAAAAAAACTATTTAGTACTGATATCCAAGTCTTTTTTTCATCAGGCATTGTGTATGCGAGAGAAGCAAGGAAGTGTATGTGAACAGTCATCCTGCAACGTTTTCCCAATGTTACTAACAAAACAAAGTGGCAGTAATGGTGCAATACAGCAATTCCGGGATTATTTTTATTTTTTTAAAATACTGGGCAGCCTGATTTCTCTGCATGTATTCCAAGGCTTAGTTTTTTTATTTTGTCTGTAGCTTTAAAGCAGGGCCAAGTTTAAAAATCATACTTTGTTATTTCATCAGTTTTAACTAAATTGGTGCATTAAGAAACTATCCTTTTTTCAAAGAACAAGAATTTCATGGTTCCCTCCACTGGTCACTTGACCAATGCAAAGCTCTTCTTTGTATTGTTTCTGTCAAAAAGACTTGGGAACTGACACTCAGGGGTTGATTTACTAACCTTATAAACACGCCACGAACAAGTATACACCTCTGTAGTGTGTTCCCTCCCAGCATGATCTATTGGTGGAATCTAAACACCTTTGTAGTGTGTACACACCCAGCAGGTGTGTTGTGCAAAGCCCTGCATGAATTGCAAGGTGATGTTGTGTAAATTAGCTCTACGTTGTGCTGCTTGCGTTGATGAATGCAGGAATGTAAATGCATGAGCTAACCATTTTTGTATAAACTGTGAAGCAGCATTATATATGCATCATGTGCATTATTTTTCCATATATGGCATTAGTGGAAATATGCTTTTAGAGACTTTTTAGTTGATAAATACGTTTTGCTGTGTAGAAATCACACGCACCTAGTGCGTGCGTGTGTTTAGGTTAGTAAATCACCCCCTCAGACATCTGGTCAATCAGTGTGTCTCTGTCCTACCAATGATTCTTTCTATTGACCTCTCTATGACCAAAGCCTTGGGCAGAGTCCTATTTTCAAGTATATATAGGGTCCCATAGTACGGGGAGGATTCGGTCAACGTCCGTTCACCAATCTCCCCAGCTTTCCGATGACACCCGGCAAGCCGGTCCTGGGCCTGTAGGAGGGGCACCGGAGCCCTGGAAACATGGCTGGGATGTCAGGCGGGGTCCCGGTTATCAGATCGTAGAAGCGATCTAGCAGCCTTATCCTGTCATGGGTCATGAAGGGGTGAACTATTATTTCTATTTTTTTTAATTTGTATTAAATTATTTTCCAGCTTACTTTATTGCTATCACAAAGGAGAAAACAAGCCCCTGTGTCATAGCATTTGGAGGTGACAGATTCTCTTTATTGAACCTGTCACCTCCAATACAGGAGTTCTAGCACAGCAGTGTGCTGGAACTCCTCTGACGGCTGAGAGCTCAGCCTCTTTACACGAGAGATGAAGAAGAGAGGTTCACCGGCCGGCAGGGAGAGAGTTAAGTGACAAGGGGGGCGGGAAGTCGGCGGGGGAGGACAGATGTGCAGGCTGCATACAAGTGATCTGGGCGATATAACTTGTGCACAGACGAACAGCTTACCTGCTGTACATTTAGCCCCGCTTGCCCAAAGTAGGGCTAAATGTAAAAAACACAACTACCCCTACATGTTCCAGGCGTTGGGAGATTACACACCACTGCCGCCCCGAGGCCGGGCCTAGGTGGCCCTATGAGAAATCTGGCCCTGCCTATACTACTTAACCAGTTATGGACAATAAGAATGCAAAACATGCCAAACATGCTAAAAAGAAATAATCAAAATACTTTCAGTGTGTGTAGTACATCCAACACCTCCTCCTCCCCCGCAGGTCTCCAGCCGCATTTAATGGCTATTCCCGGCTGTCATTTTGCAAGTTAATGAAAAAAGAAAAAAAAACTGTGTTCCTATTTAACTCTTTAGGTTAATCAGCCCCAATTAACTCCTTCCTTCTCTTCTTTACTTAGCTATTATTCACCAAACTTTTTTTTCCATTTTCATTTGCTTGTTTCTTAATTTTTTTTTTTATTTGTGAATAAAAAAAATTGAATTGGTAATAAAGCCTTTATTTTTATTTTTTTAATTACCTTTGTTATGCTTTGTAAAAACAAAATTTGGTGTCATTTTATACAGGAGAATAATGTTTTAAAACTAACTCTGGACAAACAACAAAAAAAGGCAATTTTTTCATTTTGTTACATTTGTCTATTGATATAAAATTATCTAATTGAAGTTAAATTTATTTTGTTCAAGACAATATTGCCAAGGGAAAGCCTTGTGTTCACTGAAAACAGGGGGGCCCTGGAGCTTTTAGCCATATGCACAGCATATTAGAACATTATGGCAGACTTACCTGCCAAACTGATCCACTCCAGTGCTGCGCTCCAGCACTTGCCACCCCCGCAATCTTTGACCAAGTTTTGAGTCTTCAACCGCTTGATTAGCCAATCCCTCATGACATAACTAGTTCACCTGCCCCTTTCTTTTCTGCCCATCCATTTACGAAACATAATCACTAGAGTCACAAAATCACAGAATCACTAGAATCACCTATTTGACTTGTGGTGTTGGAATTTTTTTTTTCCTGGGAGTTCTGTTTTAAAGCAGAGCTATTTTTTTTTTATGCAAACACTCTAAAATTGTTAAACAATAGTGCTTCTATGCACACTTGCAAAACTGTGTCTTGTCCCTTATCTAGAAGGTGCCCCAGCTATTGTGCAAAATTGTAGAAATGTCACCAGCACACCAGTCCTTTTAAGATAGCAAAAGCTTCATTTATTGAAGTTTTTTGTCATATGGCCAAACAGGCGCTTTCGGGACCGCACAGGGTCCCTTCCTCAGGGAAAGCGCTTGTTTGGTCATATGACAAAAAACTTCAATAAATGAAGCTTTTGCTATCTTAAAAGGTTTGGTGTGCTGTTGACATTTCTACAATTTTGCTGACATTCGCGGCGCCATCCGCAGTCACTGCGAGCACCCCCCACTACAAGGGACATATCGGTAAGGAGTGCGACAGGGATAGTACTTACCAGCTGTTGTGCAGGCACAGTGCAGGACCTGCGATTGTGAACAGCCCAGAGGTCATAGGCTTTCCACACCTCCTTCAAAGTATGTCATTATACTCCTATATTTGCATAAGGGGCAGTGAACATCACTTCACAGAACAGTGCGGCTTTTCCTGGTCCTGTCCTGTGTCCCCCCTTATTTGATCGTTGAATTTTTAAAACAAGTAGCTGATAATAGAGCAGGAGAGAGAGAGGATAAAGGTGCCCATACACTGCTCGATTCTCGTACGAGAATCAGGCGAAATCCCGCGATCGTACGAGAATCGAGCAGTGTGAACTAAGACGTGCAACCGTTTCTACTGTACGGTCGCACGTCTTTTGTCGAGCCAACATGTTCGAAAACCTGCCGAGAATCGTACGATTCTCGGCGGGTTTCTAGCCTGCTCGTCCGATAGCTGCGGAACGGGCCGGTGTGCGCATGCAGAACTGCCCGTTCTGCATTGCCGTCATCAGAAGCCCGCCCCTCAGCAGGGCGGGCTTTCGATGATCGCAAGTACGATCTGCCCGTCCAAGGTGGGCAGATCGTACGGGCTTTCAAGAAGCATACGACGATCGCAAGACAAAAGTCTTGCGATGGTCGTAAGGTGTATGGGCACCTTTAGGGTGGGATAGACCTGCCCTTTTACAGGTCTGGTTCCTGGAAGATAGTTCCTACACAGAACCTCCAGTAAGAGAATGATTACATCACTTGCCTCAGGTGGTAGTACCTCGTCATCACCTCCCACTAATGCTGAGAATAAGACTTGGCAAGATTACATATGAATAACATGAAATATGGATAATGCAGAAGGTAACAGATGTGCAAGTATGCATGCAAGCACATGTTTTGCTTTAATCAAAAGTATTGGTCATCACTTACAGTACACCTGTACGTGGAAATCTTAAACAATTCTGGATTTGACATTTTGGGAGATCTACTGTATAGGATGAAATCACTGAAGAATACGGCTCTTGGTGGAATTTTAATATCATGTCATATACTGAAATACTTTCATTCTTAAAAATTTGAATATTTTATATATTTTTAACTTAGAAATGATAATCAGGGGCAGCTCGCATATTTCTGTCTTCTCAGATTTAGAACGATGATTGGTTATCTGTATTTACCTCTTCTTGCTGCAGTAATCGCAGCTTGTGGTCATGTGATGCAGGTGAAGAGTCTCCACAGTGACTGAAATGGCACTAGATCATTATAATAAGACAACTTCCAAAGATTCTTCTTGTTGCTTCAAATGCAATGTGGATACTGGTTGTTTTATTTGATATGATCTGGATCTGTGAGAAATAGAGTAACGTCAATACACAGCCATTAAAAGAACATCTGTATTTAGCAGTACAAGAAATATGTAACTTTTTAATTGAGACTCGGGGCTCAATTCACTAAGAATTAAATACAGCATGAAGTTTTGAGGTAAAATAACTCATGCATTATTTAACTCTGAAATATACAAGTCACTAAAATCTATAAGGTAATTACCAAATTAGATATTTCTGCAAAAAAGGCATGTAACAACATTAAACACCAGCCAAGGGGTAAATCTGCTTATTATTTGGTCCCATTCCTGCCTTCAGGATGGTGGTTCTGAACACTTGTAAACTGCTACAAGC